TATATATATTCTATTAATGATCTTAAAACTATTTTATTCTAATAAAAAACAAGCAAACTCTGTTTTTTATAAGTTTATTTTGTTTTAATATTCAAACCACTTAGCAAACTGTAGGTTTCTTATTGCTATTTTTATTTATTCTTGGTAGTGAATGAAATAACTCAGGTCTCAGATGCAGGAGGAGCTGGACCTGGAGACAGGCTGAGAGGTTCAGTTCTCCAGGACAGACTGAACAGAGCTGCTGCTGCTCCACATCCAGAGGATCCAGTTGAGGTGGTTCATCTGGTAAGGATGACCCCTGGGAGATGTTCTGGACACGTCCATCTGGTAGGAGACCTCCAGGGAAAACCAGGACACTCTGGTGGAACTCTCTTTGGTGGTCTGAGTGGTCTTTCTCCCAGATGGAAGATGTAGCTGTGGAAAGAGAGGTCAGGACCGCCCTGATCAAGCTGCTGCCCCCAAGACCTGACTCTAGAACAAGAGGAAGAAGATGGACGGATGGCAGGATGGATGAACTGTTGTTGTTGTTGTTGTTGTTGTTGTTGTTGTTGTTGTTGTTGTTGTTGTTGTTTTAATTGCTTAATATTACATTTAATATGTTTTCATAAAACAAATTAAAAGCAAGCAGCCGAAAATGTCAGAGTCGTGCTTCTCCCTCCGGCACGAATAATTCAGAAGACTAAAACACTCACGTGCGCATGCGCTGTAGGCATTACAAAATCCACAGAGAGCGGGGCGCAGCCATGATTGTAGTTTTTAATAGGAGGCCTTTCAGAGACACTGATGATGCGTTCAAGAAACATCTGGGAGATCTGGAATTTTACAGCTTTCGTTCTGCTTGCTTAATCTCTGGATTCATGAAAATTTTTGAACAAAAACATTATGTTACTGTGTCTAAATGTGTCGCTAAAGAATTTCTTCATATGAGTGTATTTTATACTTTTTTATAGTTTGGTACAAATTTATATTTTTTACGAAGATTATCATATTGATACCACAACATTTATCAAGCATTTTTGATATTGTGATGTCATTTTGTCAGTTTGTTAATCGTTTTGTACTGTTTTATTTTTCAAATTAGGTTTTATATTTTTTATTTAAATGATTTAATTTTTGATAAATTACAGCAAAAATTAGAGCAGATCTATCTCGCAGGGTTKCAAAATATAGGACATTAAACGTTTGCAGCTATAAAGTTTAAACATATACTATTTCAGTGTAACTTTGTTTTTATGTTTGTAATAGAATTGTTTGTTTACAGTGTTTAAATCCCATTTGTTGCGGTTTTCGTCACAGTGTTGTATTTTCCGACAGTCCCTGAAGGCGTCTCGGGTCTGATCTTTGTGCGAAGCAGCGGAGCGCTCGCAGTTAGCGTCAGCGGCGAGCAGGTACACATCGAGCGGCGGAACACGGCGGAGGAGACCGATTCTGGACCCGAAAACCCACCCGTACAGCGAACACACGGACACGTAGACGATCCTAAGATGGTAAGAACGCGTCTAGAAGCTTCAGTTGTTGGCTGCTGCTTGTTTTTGTTTTACGACGAGCTTAGCCTCAAAAAGGAAGCTAGCTGGCTAATGCTAAGTGGTTAGCGAACTGTTTTCCTGACTCATTATCGAACAGAAGCCATTTTACAGCAGCCAGTTTCTGAGTCCTGACCGCTGCTGCTGGCTCGGGGGAACCGGTGTGTTCCTATAAATATATCCCAAAACACTAAATTAATCTGTCAGCGAGTTTTAGGCAGGAAATGAAAACCGTAGTTTGATTAAAAGCTTGTCCAGCCAGCGGCCAGGCAGCCGAGCTAAGCGGCTAATCCGAAGAAGCTAACACTTCGCAGTGTTGCGTAGTAGAGTTAAACTACAGAACCCCAACAACCATTTTATAAAGCAGATTATGGCCAGTTTGAGTCAGTATTCCTGCAGGGAAGCTGACTTTTTAAGAACCAGAGCCCGAGGAGGACCACCGGCCCTCTGCCGCTCCGGGTTCACTGTCATGAATCTGGAACAAGATTAAAACCTGAAGATGAGAAATTACAGAAAGTTTATTATTTCACCTGCTTCTCTGCCTGGAGACAAACCAGCTCATGTTTAAGGAGAGTTTAGAGCATTTAGTTTTTAACCCAAATGCTCTAAACTCTCCGTAATCATGAGCTGAAGTTTTATTTTGTGCTTAAATTCTTTATATCTGAACACTACAGAGCTTTAGAGCTGTAGAAAACCAACTCAAAACACTCAAAACCGTTCAAGTGTTGAAGTTACAGCTGTTATTTATATAAATAAACCAAATCTAAATAACAGCAACACATTACACACGATTCAATTCAAATAAACAGAGTTATCATTTTGTTGTCTTATTGCAGAAACATGAAGACGTAAAGAAATAAATCAGAAAGTTAGAGTTAAAATTTGAACATTGTGTTCTCTTACATAAAAATATTTTCAATATAAAATGGTCACTGGTTGCAGACGAACACAAGCTTGTTTACCCATGAAAACAGCCTAAATGACTGAAAACAGGTCAACGACATTAATAGAGGAGTTGGTTGAGAACAAGAACAGTTTTAATGTTTTTCTTTATGTTTATGCTGAGATTTGTTGAGTAGTTTGTGTGTAAGCCCTTTGTTTACGTTAAGTGCATACCTGCATTTCAGAACTACATGTGTGGGAAAACTACCTTCAAATTACACCGTCTGATGTAGTTCAGGATGAACGTTTCTTAAGTTTGAGTTCATATTATTCAGTGAATACCTTTCTGTTGATAAAATGTAAAGGTCCTGAAGGTTTTACATTCTGTTGTAAATAAGTGTTTTATTGTTGTCAGAAGAATCAGATTTTGTTTAAACTCTTAAATTTGAATCTTTGTTAGCTGTCTAAATAAAGAAAATAATGTTTGTTTATTTTACAGAACTAGCTTTGTGAAAAACAATTGACATGATGTTAGTACATCAACTCTTAACACCCCTTCACTGTTTCCCCTTCACTCACCAACTAATGCATCAAGAGCCACAAACAGGTCATCAACTGGTGGCCTGCGGGCCGCTTCTAGTTCATAAGGAGAGTTGTTATGGCCCTGCAGTGGTGACTCAGAAGAAGTGGAAGACTAGCTTCAAATTAAAAGAAACAGAAGACTAGCTTCAAACTAGTCTAAGTGGCTAAGTGTAAATGAACATATTTAAAGTTCCTGTGACGTCAAATATTTATATTAATTTAATGTGAATGCATTTTTAGAAAGAGGACACTGATAAAATRTTGTAAAAGAAATTTCATGTCGCTGAGATGAACGGTTGTTGAGATATTTGCCTGTGAAGTAACAGGAAGTGATGTCAGAGGGGAATGTCTGCGTGTAAACAGAGCGTCGCTACAACAGCCAACAACACAGACTGTATTATTTTGAGTCTTTATTAGAGAGAAGTTGAGTTCAAATAATGCTTCATTAAACAAAGACCAGAGAGTTTTCTTTGTTAAAGATTCAAGATACTTTATTGTCATTCACATCACATGTTACATGAGATGGAACGAAATTAAGAGTCACAGCCCCAGTTACATCCAAATTAAAAAAAAATATATAAAAATATATAAAATATTAAAGTATAAAATATAAAATATAAAGTACAAGCTACAAGAGCACAATATTACAGGTAGGAAAGTGTATAGCTAAGAGCAGTGCAATAAGGGAGAGTGATGGGAGTTTAAGAGTCGCACAGCTTCTGGWATGAAGCTGTTTCTCAGTCTGGTTGTCCTGCATTTGATGCTCCGCAACCTCCTACCTGAGGGGAGTGGGACAAAAAGTGAGTGTGCTGGGTGAGTAGGGTCCTTCATGATGCAGGAGGCCCTTTTCCTGCATCTGGAGGTGTAGATGTCTGTGGCGGTGGGGAGGTTGACACCAACAGTTCTTTGTGCCGCCTTCACCACTCTTTGCAGAGCTCTCCTGTCTGCAACAGAGCAGCTGCCGTACCACACGTTCATGCTGGAGCACAGCACGCTCTCCACCACACATCTGTAAAAGGAGGTGAGGACTGAGCTCCCCAGTCCTGCACGCTTCAGCCGCCTGAGGAAATAGAGCCGCTGATTCGCCTTCTTGACCAAAACGGAGGTGTTATTGCTCCAGGTGAGGTTGCTGGACAGGTGCACGCCCAAATACCTGTAGCTGGAGACAACTTCCACCACAGATCCCCCGACTAGCAGGGGGAGATGGACGTGTGTGTTCCGTCTGAAGTCCACGATCATCTCCTTCGTCTTCTTGACGTTGATGCAGAGGTTGTTTTCCCTGCACCAGGCCTCCAGGTTTTCCACCTCCTGTCTGTAGCTGGACTCATCACCGTTTGTGATATTTCCAACCACTGCTGTGTCATCCGCAAACTTCACAGTATGACAGCCAGGATGGAGAGGAGAGCAGTCATATGTGAGTAGCGTAAACAGGAGGGGACTCAGCACACAGCCCTGTGGGGAGCCAGTGCTGAGGACTGTGGTGGAGGAGGAGATRTTGTGAATCTTCACAGACTGCGGCCTGTTGGTCAAGAAGTCCAGGACCCAGTTGCAAAGTGAAGTGCGCAGTCCAAGTAAGGAAAGTTTATTTATTAGGGTCTGAGGTATTATTGTGTTGAAAGCCGATGTGAAGTCCACAAATAGCAGACGAACATAGGAGTTCCTCTTCTCCAAGTGAGTGAGAGCAATATGGACCACAGAAGAAATGGCATCTTCTATGGAGCGGTTCTTCCTGTAGGCGTACTGGTACTAAAGAGTTCCCCTTTGATGTCACTTCCTGTTTCACTTTGGCTGAGACAAATTCAAAAGATATAACAGTTAAGTGACAAAATGTGTTAAATCTTGTGTGTTATTTCAACTTTCTCAAATATAAAGATGTTTTCTTTGACGTTTTGTATTTGAAGGATGTCATGTCACAGGTGGTGCCTGATTTTAGACATCAGTAACTGTAAGAAGCTGAATGAAGCATGTTTCTGCTGCAGGAGGCTACGGTGGCTCTGCTGGGACAAACTGTCTCCATTCTGCTGACTTCAAGTGATGAAACAACAGTCTTCAGTCGATGTAAAGCTTGATTAGGTCTGTTAGAGCAGCAGGGCTGGCACGAAGCTCACATCACAGCAGAAACACGTTTTATATTTAAGTGTTTAAAAATAACTGGTTAACAGATTTATTTTATTTCCTGCTCTCCAGARAAACGATGCTTAAATCTGCCTAAAAGTTACTATAATGAGATGAGTTAGTGTTGTCTGAGTGACCTTTGACCCCTGCTGTATGTGGTGCTCAGGAAGTGTTGGATACAGGTTCAGAGGTTTTATAAGCTTTTATTATTGTGTAGAAAGTTAAATGAAGTAGAATATTTTTTGAGGTACAGATGTTTGTTTTAGTTTATTTTAGCAGATGTGTGAATGTGACAGGCTGTGATCGGTGGGATGAAGAGCTCCAGAAAGCCTTTTTTAAAAGAACCGTATTTTTAATTATAATAAAGTTTATTTATGTTTAATCCTGTCTAAAGATGGTTGATCTCTTTGTTTGATGGTAGTTGGAGAGTTGTGTGAACCCATCTGACAGAACAGAACCAAACATTTGGACCATCGGGCTGAAGGATCCCAGTAATCAGCAATTTGTTTATTTACAGTAAGAAGCTGCTGTCAGTTCCAGAGACCAAACGGGTCATTTYCTGCTGTCGGTTCTGTAAACGGCCCGTTAGAGGAGAGGCTGCTTTGTTCTTCAGTGTTTCCCTGGTGTTTCTGCAGATAACGCTCACCTGGTCAGGCTCTCACCTGCTGAGTGATCAGAGCAGACAGCTGTGTCTCTGACCAGCATCAGTAGTCGTGTTTCCATCCAGCTGTAGAGTGAATTTTTATCAAACTTTTCAAAATTCGCAAAAAAATTAAAAAAATTAAAATTAGAATCTAGACTGTTTCCATCTAGTTTCCCTCTTGACTGTTTGATGTGAATAAACGAGGCTACGCAACACGTGATTGTCAGACGAGGCTACGCAACGCGTGATTGTCAGACGAGGCTACGCAACGCGTGATTGTCAGACGAGGCTGCGCAACGCGTGATTGTCAGACGAGGCTGCGCAACGCGTGATTACGTCAGACGTCGGCGACTAACTTTGCAGTAGTAAACAGGAAGTGAAACTTGCTAACTAGCAGAGGCTAATCATCTCGCGACAATGGAGCAATTTTTTTCGTGAATGCCTTGCTGTTGGACAAGTTGTAATTATTCTATCTATTCAGCTAGTACAGGCTATGTTTAACGCTGCATGGAGACGTAGGGAAATAAACACAATGTTAAACTACGCAGCAGAAAGGCACGTGCAACTACGCAGGGCTAACATCCGGGACGAGGCAGGAAAGCAGAAACAGCTGAACGTCACGTGAGGTAAATATGCGCTACGTCAGAATTTATTCAGCAAACGTGTTTCCATCTCCCGTTTTGCGCATTATCTACTTTACGAATCATCCAAAAATCACCTCAAGCGAGAATAAAAACTTTTTAGCGAATTGAGGATTTTCTCTGGATCTGACTTTTTTTTCTCATTTTTAATGTGACACTTCTAAATGTGCATGAAAAAGCCTTGATGGGAACACGGTTACTGGTTCTGTTCGACCCACAGCTGTCAGTTATTCACACCACCAGTATGAGGTACAGACAGAACCGTGTATCAGCCGACCCAAACACAGCCGAGCTGCTGCAGAACATTTAAGAAAAATAACATTTAATGTTGTTCATGKTATGAGTGAAGAAAGATAGAAAATAAATGTACCAAACCAGGAAAACAATAAACGATTATCACATTTTATTTTTGCTCAACATCTCATTAGATCTGTAATGTAATGAAACAACTTGTTAACTCATGTTCATGTTTTTGTTTTGAACTTCCACACAGAGAGAAAAATATTAATAATTGTTGAAGAATAACCAGGTAAAATTGGATACAAGTAAAAACATTTTAACATAAATTTGAATTATTTTCAAACATAATAAAATAGTTTTAGTCGTATAATGAGAGGCAGTTTTCTGAATGTGTGAATAAATGTTATTAAAATCAGACATGAAATCTATAAACTGTTAATCAGAGCTGCAGTTAAACCACTGAAGGAATTTGTTCTTTAAATGTAGCTTTTATTTTATTTAAAGCTTGAGTTTGTAGATGCAGATTTAGGATATGAGCTGAGTCAGACCTGAACACACAGTCATCATCATCATCATCATCATCAGGGTAATCAGATTACTGACTGCAGCACCGCTGGTTTCTGTGTGCTTCAGCAAAGCTCTTCAGGTTCTGCTGTGGTAGTAGCTGACAGTCGTCACAGGAGGATCTCAGTTTAGTCTGGCGGGTGATGAGCAGTCCTCCCTCAGCCCTGATCCTCACCTCAGATTAAGATTTTCATTCCAAACATTCAAACTTTGTCATTTAAAGTTGATGAAAATCATCTTTTTTCAGTTTGTCAGTAAAGCTGAGTTTTGATGGTCCAGGACCAGTCCACACCGGGCTGAGGACCTGAGAGTCCAGCAGAGTCATAAAAGCCTTCCTGCTGCTGTAGAGGGAACCAGGCTCTGCAGTCTGCTTCTGGTTCTGGTTCTAAATATAGTCTGACATGAACCTGATGATGTCTCAGCAGCAGAACGTGTTGTTTATAACATAGTTATTACTGTTGTTTATAACATGGTTATTACTGTCTGGGTTTAACCCTCACAGCTCTGAGGTTCTGAGGTCAGACCTCCTCTGTGGAGGAACCAGCAGATCTGATCTGCTGGTTTCCTCCCCCCACCAGCGGACCACTTGTCCTGTGTTTCTGGTCCAAGAAGCTGGACTGGGTCCGCCTGCCATCAGCGCCTGCTGCTAAATWTAGCAGCTGTGCCTCCAGGAACACTGGGTCCAGCTGGTCCAGATCCTGTCAGGGAGCACTGCTKCCAGACCCTCAGGGTTCTCAAACCAACACACCTGGAGAGCTTGTTGATCCTGCTGCTCTGGTGTCATCCTTCAGGTTATAATCCTGGTCTAATCTGGGTTAATCTGAGTGACCTGGCAGACCACAGATGATGCTGTGTTTCTCCTCTCAGGTCCTCTGGTGAAGAAGCATTGAGGAGGAGGAGTCAGCTCCATCCAGGTGTGGAGGGACCTCAGCCCGTCTGACAGCCCACATCCAGCTCTTCTTCTGCAGACACCAGATGGACTGCGGACTCTGAGGGCGCAGCCAGCCAGGACCAAATCCAGCAGGGGGCCGGAGCAGGACCGGGTCAGGGGGGGAGAGGAGCGGACGAGGGGCTCCACCATGTCGTCCAACAGGACCCAGAACCCTCACGGACTCAAACAGATAGGCCTGGACCAGATCTGGGACGACCTGCGGGCTGGAATCCAGCAGGTGTACACGAGGCAGAGCATGGCCAAGTCCCGCTACATGGARCTCTACACGTATCCTGGGTCAGCTACAGCTGCAGGTCCGGGTCCTGGTCCTGTCTGCTGGGGTTCACAACAAGCTGCTCAAGTTTCAGGTCCAAACTAACAGGTTCTCCTCCAGAAATGATTCATATTAAACTGAAACTCAGGGCAGCTCGGGTCTGAGCAGACCTCATCTACAGGACAGACTGGTTTTACTTTAAACGTTTAATTTAACTGCTTAATTTAACTGTTTAATTTAACTGCTTAATTTAACTGTTTAATTTAACATGTTAATTAGACTAAAAAACTTAAGTTACAAAAAGTAGTTTCTTTATCCGTTTAAAAAACAATTAACTAGAGAAATTACATTTCCTGCAAAACTGCTGGTGTGAATGCTTCATGCTGAAAACTTCAGCTGAAAGCTGCTGAAAATGTTTAACAGGAAGTGTTAATGTGAGCTCACTTTAAAAGCTGAAAGAAGCAAACAAACCTAACTCTGCAGAAAAACTGTAGAAAGGAGCACAAATCTAGTTGAAACCAGAAAACAGCTAAGAGCTAAAACAGCTGAAAACATCTGTAAAGAAGCATAAATAACACTAGGTAGCAGAAAAAAAGCAGAAAAAGTAGAAAAAAAGCAAAAGAATAGCAGAAAAAAGCAGAATTTTAGCTGAAATACNCAGAATTTTAGCTGAAATACCAGAAAAAAGCTAAAATTAGTTTTAAAAAAGTAGCTAAAATTAACACAAAAAAGTAAAAAAAAGAGCAAAACCAGAAAAAAATCTGTAAGGTTTTGTAAAGATTTAGAAACATTTTAAAGGAGTTTAAGGATGTTGAAAACAGCTCTGTTCATTTTCAGTGGCAAAAACGTGAAGTGGCTAAAAAAAGTATAAAAAGCTGAAATACCAAACGCCAGCAGCCTCACATGAAGGAGCTGAACGGTTTGATGTATGAATTGTTGAAACGGCACAAAAATTGTGGAACGAGTTAGATGACGAAAAATGTATGGAAGAAAAAAAAGATCTGTTTGAGCCAACGTGTCACTTCCTGTCTGAGTGTCACTTCCTGTCTGAACCTGTTTGTGTGACCAGCTAGTTTAACTTCCTGTCCCAGGTGATGGTTGTGTTTCCTGTGTGCTCCTTGACCCGTCCCTCAGACATGTATATAACTATTGTACCAGCGTCCACCAGTCCAGCATTGGCCGAGGAGGCTCCGGACCCCCAGCCAAGCCCTCCAAGAAGTCCACCACCCCGGGCGGTGCTCAGTTTGTGGGCCTGGAGCTCTACAAGCGGCTCAAGGAGTTCCTGAAGAACTACCTTACCAGCCTGCTGAAGGTGCGTTGTTTACCTGAAGGTTTGGTCCTTTAAACGTCTGACGAGAYGGCCCTCGGCTCTAACCCTCGTGTCCCTCCACAGGACGGCGAGGACCTGATGGACGAGTGTGTCCTGAAGTTCTACACCCAGCAGTGGGAGGACTACCGCTTCTCCAGTAAGGTCCTGAACGGGATCTGTGCCTACCTCAACCGCCACTGGGTCAGACGGGAGTGTGACGAGGGCCGCAAGGGCATCTACGAGATTTACTCCGTGAGTTTCACAGCTGCTAACATGAGCTGAATTAAAACACATCTGAACCCTAAATAACAAAAACCTGGTCGATCTGTTCGTAACCGACACAAGTTTAGTTTGATTTGGGTTGATTGAGGTTTTAGAAACTCCTGAAATTCCAGGCGTGTGGGAAAAAAAAAGAAGTTTTTCTAACTTTGACCTGTTCCTGTTGCTTCCTCAGCTGGCTCTGGTGACCTGGAGGGAATGTTTGTTCCGACCCCTCAACAAACAGGTGGGTTTACTTTTCTTTTACACACGTAAACAACAAATAAACACAGCTGCAAACATCAGCTCTGCTTTGATCTGTTGGAAAAGGTAACGAACGCTGTTCTGAAGCTGATCGAGAGGGAGAGGAACGGAGAAACCATCAACACCAGACTGATCAGCGGGGTCGTCCAGTCTTATGGTAGGTTCTGGAACTGAACGGACTGAACAGAACCTGGTTCTGTACACAGGTTGAATACATGTGTGGATCCATCTGCTTCACCAGATTCAACTTGTGTTTGACAGAGCAGGTTGATTTGGTGCTTTAGGATCAAAGMGTTCTAAGATCTTTGGGTCCCTCTGTGGAGGACTTGTACAGACCTACGTGTTGGTTTTCACACCAGCAGCAGAACCAGTCACACCCCTTAGATCACCAGCAGGAACTTAAAAAAAGATAAATATRGAGYCACAGGACCACCAGTTAAGAAACTAAAGGACCACCTGTTCTAAAGACTGAAGTGATCCTCTCTTAAGGTGTTGTTCTTAAACCCTGTCTGATGTTTGACCCGGGTCAGAAGGTGCTGACCTGTTTCTGCTGCTCTCCTGCAGTGGAGTTGGGTCTGAACGAGGAGGACGCCTTCGCCAAAGGCCCCACGCTGTCCGTCTACAAGGAGTACTTCGAGTGTCAGTTCCTCACCGACACCGAACGCTTCTACACCCGGGAGAGCACCGAGTTCCTGCAGCAGAACCCGGTCACCGAGTACATGAAGAAGGTCAGCCTCCACACAACAGGAGCTTCCTGCTGCCGCTGCGGTGTTTAACGAGTTGTTTGTTCCCTCAGGCGGAGGCCCGTCTCCTGGAGGAGCAGCGCCGCGTCCAGGTTTACCTCCACGAGTCCACGCAGGACGAGCTGGCCAGGAAGTGTGAGCAGGTCCTCATCGAGAAGCACCTGGAGATCTTCCACACCGAGTTCCAGAACCTGCTGGATGCAGACAAGAACGAAGGTAAACCTGATTCATCTATACGAACCTCAGATTAAACCTGATTCATCTATACGAACCTCAGATTAAACCTGATTCATCAGCAGCTATAGGATCCTCAGATCAAACCTGATTTATCTATAGGATCCTCAGATCAAACCTGATTTATCTATAGGAACCTCAGATCAAACCTGATTTATCTATAGGAACCTCAGATCAAACCTGATTTATCTATAGGAACCTCAGATCAAACCTGATTTATCTATAGGAACCTCAGATTAAACCTAATTTGTCTATACGAACCTCAGATCAAACCTGATTTATCTATACGAACCTCAGATTAAACCTGATTTATCTATACGAACCTCAGATTAAACCTGATTTATCTATACGAACCTCAGATTAAACCTGATTTATCTATACGAACCTCAGATTAAACC